ATTCAAAATTTTACAAAACTTGCAAGTTATACCAAATTGCACTTAGTTGGCCACAGTAATGAGTCATACCGTGGAATGGCTAGAGTCCGACAAAGTTTGTTCTGAGTCATTTACAAGTGGTTCACTGTCATTCGAACTATCAGGGACTCCGACTTCGCGTTGTCCTTGAGATGTTTCACCAACATAACTTGCGTTCTTCATGCGCGGCATTTATCTTCGAAAAACCAAACAAACCCAACATTATAACTTCCGAAATCGGTTAAGCATTTTAACCTAATTTCATCGCGAATTCTACTCGGATTTGAATATAGAAAGTAGATTCGGACTTACCTTGGAATTAGATTTCGTTTTACGAACAATTATCCTTGGTTGTCCTTGGTTGAACTTGGTTGAGAAGAAGCGAAGAGAGGGAGAGTTGAATGTTGTCGCGGACTTGTGTTTTTTTTTTTAAAGAAGTTGATTCGATTTCGGGTTAAAGAGGAGAGGGAGAGTGGAATCCGAATTAAACGGGTTTGGGTTGATCGAATTCTGTTGGTTGTACTTGGTTGTACTAGGTTGAACTTGATTAAGAAGAAGCAAAGAGAGGGAGGGAGAGTTCGCAGACTTGTTTTTTTTTAAAAAGGAAGTTGATTCGTGTCGGGTTAAGGAGAAAAGGGAGAGTGGGATCCGAATGGATATGGGTTGATCCGAATTCAGATGGTTGGATCTGTAAAAAGGTGATTTCATTAAGGGTATTTTCGTATTTTTCTAATTTTTCGATTTTAAAACAGAAAAATTAAATCAAAAATAAAATGTTATTGAGAGGGTTATATTAGAACTGAAATCAACTTTGAAGGCCATTTGAGGACATCCTCATGACTATAGTCACTACTACTACACCAACTCTAAAAAAAAAATCTCTGCAATTTTAAGAAAACCAAATGTTACAATACAAGAGAGTAACTGAACTCTTTAATTACCAAAAGTCATTGCAGGAGCATTTTCCTCCCTTAAAATGATGATATCTAGTTGCATCTCGAACTATAATCTCTCTTTCTGTAATCTCACTTATATGTTTCAGAACAACATGACAATCTCCACAAACTCTAAGGTTTTTCACAATCTGTATCGGAGTTCCGGGAACAGCTTTAAGTAATCCGTATGCAACAGCGGATCGTTCGCTATGCCAAAACAAAAGCTTTTCTTTCTCTTGCTCATCCATGTCGTGTAGGATCCAATTCGTATCAGGAACATAACCTTTTCTTCTTCTCATTTCTTCCTCCAATTTCTTAAGCAATCCAAAGATTTCGTCTTTTAGAGGATGAGATGTTTCTCCTGCGTAAAACACTTCGGTTTCTTTCCTGACCTCCACGCTACTATACCCTGGATCTTTTCTAACTTCCATGTCTCCTAGTTTCCTTCTTGCTTCTGATACTTTTCCCCATAAAGAAGCACTTGCATAGATGTTTGATAAAAGTATGTAAGTCGATGGATCTTTCAGTTTAAAGCTGCCTAAGAGATGATCCGCGATTCTTACACCCATTTGACCTTGTCCCTGTCGCTTACAAGCGCTAAGTAAAGCAGCCCAAGTTGGTTCATCCGGAAGAAACGGCATAGAATGAATTAAATTCTCAGCCTCATCAAGGAGCCCAGACCGACCAAGAAGATCTAACAAGCATGTATAATGCTGCAAGGACGGGCGAATTCCATAGTCCTTGGTCATTGATTGAAAAAGCTCACGGCCTTTAGCTACAAAACCGACATGGCTACACGCGTATATTAACCCAACAAACGTGACCTCATTGGGCTTTACACCGTGAGAAACCATGTCATCATACAAGGCCAATGCCTTCTCAGCCTGCCCGTGCTGAGCCATTCCAACTATAAGCGATGTCCATGAAACTACATCTCTGTGACGCATTCTACTGAAAATATCCTTTGCAGATACAACATCGCTGCATTTAGCGTACATATCGATAAGGGCGTTACTAATAAACACACAAGAATCAAATCCTAGAGCTATAACCAAACCGTGAACCTGCCTCCCTGCTATCGAAGCTGCCAAATTAGCACAAGCGCCAACAATGCTCGAAAGAACTAACGGATCCAAAATATCGACTCTTTCTCTCCTCATTTCAATAAATACGGAAAAAGCTTCAAGCCCTTTCCCACTCTGTACAAAACCAGAGATCAATGCAGTCCAAGAATATAAATTCTTGACTGGTATTTGTCTGAAAAGCTCCAAAGCCTCTTCCTTTCTTCCGCTTTTAGCGAATCCCGATATCATGGCGGTCCACGAAATAGTTGTTTTCAATCTTATAGAATCGAAAACCGCTTTAGCACTATCAGGTAAATCACCTTTGGCGTACATATCAACCAGTGAAGACTTAACAACATCATCATGACTATACTCAGAGACTATGAAATGGCAATGAACTTGCTTCCCATGCTTAACAGATCCTAAGTTAGCACAAGCCTTAACAAGCGCCGAAAACAAGAAATCATCCGGACGCAACCCACCGCTCGATGAAAACACAGAGAGAGTCTTACCAGAGAGATTAGCTTGATTAAGAGCTGTGAGAACAGAGGCCCATGCGATGTGGTCTCTCTGAGGCATTTCGTCGAACAACTGGTGAGCATGAGAAGCAGCGCCGCATTTGCCGTATACATTGACAAGAGTGTTGGCCAATGGGCAACACTGAGCGATTCCGAGCTTGACGATGTGGGCATGGAGGGATTTTGCAGTGGTTAAGGTTCGATTTCTCGCACAGAGCTGAAGCTGATGAAGATAGTGAGGGATAAGCATTCAACAGTTTGATATCGATACAAAAAATCAAAGTCGAAAAGGAGAATAAATTTGGTCTGTGTAAAGTTTGTACCCATTAGAGTGGCCCAAAAATGTTATTTGGCCCATACGTATTAATTTGGGTCCATATAAATTGAATAAAAATCCGGCTATTGAGACACGGTTTAACTGCGGTTTGGATACGGGTTTAACACGGTTTGGCACGCATCCCTAGGTGATTTTATGTCGGTTATCATGCCAAACCGTGTCTAAACCGTGTCCGATCCGTGTCCGATCCGTGTCCGACCCGTGTCCGACCCGAGTCCGACCCGTGTTGACTTTTTTTTTTTCTTCCCCAAACCGTGTCCGACCAAGTTTTTTTTTTGTTTTCGTTTCAAAGAAGCAAAATGCCTCGCCGCCGTCTCCGGTGATACTCGTCGGCTTTTAGGGTTTATTGATCAATTGGGGGACTGATCAGATTTGTTCGAAAGAAACCCTAACTTAAAAATCCAGGATTTCTACAAGAATCAATTTCTTCATCGTTTCATGAGATTTCGTCCGTTTGAATGATCATGAAGATCTGTTTTTGAGAGAATTTAGGGTGATTTGTTTGATAAGTACCGAATCATTGTGCTTCTTGTCTCCGATGATGTCGATTCCAACAATTATCACTTTTTCTTTTTCTTTTAAAAAAAACACAGTGGACAAAAGCTTAAAAGCAAGAAGATGAATCTCAAGAAGCTGGTTGGGGTTTTACAAAACCATTTTGATTCAAGTTTAGATAACAATGTTTGATGCCAAAATCATGTTTGTATTTTTGCTTTAATCCATATAACAAGTGACATATGGATACTAGATAGATATGAACAAGATTGTTCTGGATTCTAGAAAACAAACACACAAATGGAGATATCATGGAAACATCAACACTCCAAAATATCATCAAGATTTTGGAGCCGAAGAAACACAAGAGAACATGGAACGCTATTCCTAAACACAAGAGAATTTGGCTGTGTTATTTATTAGGTTTGGGATAGAGCAAGAATACACGTTACCGACACATCAGAATTAGGGTGATTGGAACGGAGCAGCGGCTCATACAAACTTTAGAATTGATTAAGAAAGCGATAGAGAAGCTTGAAGTGAAACACAAACAACACATTGCGGCTTATGGTGAAGGCAACAAGAGGAGACTCACCGGGAAGCATGAAACTGCAGATATCAACTCTTTCTCTTGGGTATGAAGTCATATCAAATCAAATCAATAACTTGTTTTTAAATAACATTTTGGTTTTACTTGATAATAGGGAGTGGCGGAATCGTGAAGCATCGGTGAGAGTAGGAAGAGATACAGAGAAGAAGGTAAAGGGTATTTCGACGATCAAAGGCCTTCGTCTAAGATGGATCCTTATCTTGTGACCGCCATGATCGCTGAAACCACTATCCTCGGCTAAGTATCAGCTTCAAGTTTCAGTTTGATATGGCTTAATTTCGGTTTTTTTTAAGACTTTTATTGTGAATAATTCATGGAGTGTTCTATGATCCTATTTTGTAATCCGTTTCTGGTTCAATCTTTTAGTCTTATGTTAATTCACTTGAAGAGAAAAGTGTGAACTTCCAAGTAGACCAGAGGATATTGCCTTCCACCAGTTCTTGCAAAAGATTCGAACCGGACACACACATCAAAACCAATAACTAAACTAAATATGAGGGAAAAACCCCTACCGACACATCAGAAACGACCTCAAGCTAAATATGATGGAAAATCTGGTTCTGTTTCTTTCAATGGCCTAACCCACCAGCTAGTTGGATTTTGGCTCCTGTTGTGTTGATATCTTCATTGATTCTTCCACAGTTCTTTCTAAAACAATTTCTGCTACTAGTTTTGCTAAAGTGCAATTTCGATGCCTCTTTTAATCTTTCTTCTAAACATTACTCTTTAATTACCAGAGATCACTGCAGGAGCATTTTCCTCCCTTGATGATATCTAGTTACATCTTGAACTATAATCTCTCTTTCTTCTAATCCACTTATATGTTTCAGAACAACATGACAATCTCCACAAACCACGATTATCCTTTCCAACAGGAGAAAGCAATGCTGAAGATTAAACTTTATCAAAGTCGGACAAGATTAAACTTTATCAAAGTCGTCGAAGATTTAGTTATAGGAGAAAAAATTAAACCTTTAAATTGGCGGGTTAAAGCCAGGTCCATGTAGTAGTGCAACGCATGGACGACTCATAAAAGCCCAAATAGCAAGCTATCTTATTGGACTTTCTAATATCGTGTGGAACCGATGGACCACATATATCAGATATTAAACTGATAAGAACAGATACTACACTTGATCTTAGCCAAAAGGCCGAGAAATAATTTGTAGGTTGTGCTTAGCTTTCTTTTTATAATACCAAGTTTACACCAACGCGTCTTTAGTTTATCGATAAGGGACTTTTGACAAATAGACAATTTGTAAAACAGCCAATACGATGTAGCTTTAGGCATAAAGGATTCTTACCTAAATAAACCATATTTTATACCAAAACCATAGTTGATGTCGATTATGGTTTGCACAAATTTTTTGTAATCAAAGGATTCTAACAAAATAAACCATATTTTATACAAAAATATTAAAAACCATATTTCTAAATTTAATAAAATAGTCTAAACTTAAACCCAAAGCTTTTAAAACTAATCAACTAGTGTGATGCTACAAATCCTCACACTCTATGGAAATGCATCACTTTCGGCAAATCCATTAGTATGGAGGATCACATGGAGCTTAAAGCCTTAAACGATCAATGGGAACTCCACCAAGGGAGGGCTCCGGCAAATATTTAGGTATTCCGGAACAACTTCAAGGTTTAAAGACCCAAGTCTTTGCATATGTACAAGAGCGATCGAATCATCGGGTTAATGGTTTTGTTTATGAAATTTGGTGGGGGATTTGCTGTTGCAGAGATGGGTGTTTCTGATCATGAATACAGTATATTGTATTGATATCTTTATATATATGGGTAGCTTAAGACCAAGTGTTTGGCAAATTTAAAAGTATTTGTCTAGCTACAACAATTTTGTTGGGATATCAATCCAAGTCCCACATCCAAAGTTTAGACAGGAATTGTCTAGTATATAAGTAATGTCCAACTCCAATTAGAATGAGGTCTTTTGGGAAGGAGCCCAAGAACAAATCCGTGCGGGCTTTGCCTCTAGGCCCAAAGCGGACAATATCATACTAATAGGAGAGTTGGACATGGGCTTTAAAAGCCCCAATATTTGGTATCAGAGTTAGAGTTCAGAGAAGTAAGGGTACCAGATTGTTGGGATATCAATCCAAGTCCCACATCTTTTGGGAAGGAGCCCAAGAACAAATCCGTGCGAGCTTTGCCTCTGGGCCCAAAGCGGACAATATCATATTAATGGGAGAGTTGGACATGGGCTTTAAAAGCCCCAATAAATCTATCTGGTATAGTCTTGGTACTTTGATTAGAAATAGCCGTATTTAATTTGTTTATATATTTTGGTTTGTATTTCAATTTTTAGTAATTTTTTTTTCAGTTTTTTAAGTAGTAAAATAATTTTACGAGGAAAAAAAAAACATGAACAAACACAAAATATGAATTTTTAAAGGGCTCTGAGTTTTGGATGGACTGATACACATTTTAAAGCTTGATTGGAAAAGATGTAGAAATGTTTTAAAACAACTATAGAAGATTCCTACAACTCTTACCGGTCGTAGTGTTAATATCACAAAATATATAGATATATTTGATATTGCACAAGTAGTATTATGACTCGATCTGAAAACATATTAGGTTAAAGTTTATAATTAAAAAAAAAAAAATAGATAAGGCGTCTACAAGTGAGTGCATATGCTTAGAAGTGAAACAACGCCCAAATTTCATTCCTCAAAATCCATGAGACAATCATTCATCATAGTCACATACTAGTAGAAAGGAAACACCACAAAAACAAATTGAAAACTAGCCATTCAAGTCATTTCATCAAACAGTAGCAGAAAGAACATCTTGATCAAACAAGGAACATGACGGGTCGACTCTAAAAACAACATCAAACCACTTGACTTTCCCGCAAATCACGTCTCCTTGCGGTGGCGAAAATCAGGCAATCTTTCAACACCATTCAATATCTTCCATAAAATTGCCTTATACAATCATACCAACACTCCATCACGCCAAAAGAACAAGACGTTGTCTATCACACAATAACTTGACTTTACTGATAAACACATATCCACTCCTATAGGGTTCGATCTACCTTCTTTGGGATCTAAACCACACACTGATCCTCCCCAAACAAGTAGAGTTTTCTTTCAAGACCTAAGCTTTTGACTACACATCCTTTGCGTATCTGGATGTTAGGGTTTGTCACATTTCCCCAAGTTTGAGTCTTTGGATTAAACACTTCGATCCAGTTCAAGGAATTGAGGTCTTCGCAGCCTCCTGCTACATATATCTTCCCATCGACTAAGATAGCTGTGGCGGAGGAGATTCGGTCCTCTTGCATGCTTGGAGCCTGCTCCCACGTGTGAGAGCGACAATCAAAAACAGAGACACTAGAAGAATAGTGCTTTTTGTATCGATAAGAATCAGAGCCACCGAGGCTACGAGACTCGACGATTGCGTAGGACGCAAGTAATTGGGTTGATGGAATTGGGACCAGACGATAGCGATTAATTTTCCGACTGAGAGTAAACCAGTTTGTGTTGAAGTAGAAAGGGAATTGTAAGCAAAGATAGAGACACCTCTCTGTGTGGTTTATGAGTGATCGGGTCTGGTATAGATCCGGTGAAGCAACGATGGATCTTAATTTCTTGGAGACGAAGGAGAGAGTTAATACCTTTAGCCCATGGGCCAAAAGTCAAAAAGGGAAAAAAACTAGGGGGTCTGTGTAAATTTTGTACCCATTAGAGTGGCCCAAAAATGTTATTTGGCCCATACGTATTAATTTGGGTCCATATAAATCGAATAAAAATCCGGCTATTGAATCACGGTTTGGATACGGGTTTAACGCGGTTTGGCACGCATCCCTAGGTGATTTTATGTCGGTTATCATGCCAAACCGTGTCTAAACCGTGTCCGACCCGTGTCCGATCCGAGTTTGACCCGTGTTGACTTTTTTTTTTTTTCTTCCCCAAACCCCAAGTTTTTTTTTTTTTTTTCGTTTCAAAGAAGTAAAATGCCTCGCCGCCGTCTCCGGTGATACTCGTCGGCTTTTAGGGTTACTGGATCAATTGGGAGACTAATCAGATTTGTTCGAAATGGTAAGAGCTTCGAAAGAAACCCTAACTTAAAAATCCAGGATTTCTACAAGAATCAATTTCTTCATCGTTTCATGAGACTTTGTCCCTTTGAATGATCATGAAGATCTGTTTTTGAGAGAATTTAGGGTGATTTGTTTTGTAACCACCGAATCATTGTGCTTCTTGTCTCTGATGATGTCGATTCCAACAATTATCACCTTTTTTCTCTAAAAAAAAACACAGTGGACCAAAAAAGGTGAAAAGCTAAGAAGAAGATGAATCTCAAGAAGCTGGTTGGGGTTTTACAGAAGCTCCATAAAGGCACTGGTTTGTGTGTGGTAACAGAAGATTTCATGATCAAAAACCATTTTGATTCAAGTGTTTGATGCCAAAATCATGTGACTGTTTTGTATTTTCAAATGGTTTACCTGATTTTAAAAGGTTGCTCTTGCTCTGGCGCTTACTCATGCTTGATTCTCCAGTGTACGGATGGAAAAAAGTTGGTCCGTATTAACATTTTTTCGTTATAAAGTCCATGAGAAACTTCATCGAAGTTGGTTAGAGCATTCCAATAATGGTTCTTGAGTAGCTTGTACTGCAAACTTGTCTTGTGATTCTTTCGTGTACTGATGAGTAAAGCTCATCCGTGTTAACGTTCTCTTTGATGATGATGCTTTTTATTCTCGTTCCTTTACTTCTCTCCATTTCACCTTCTCTGTATAAAGCTAAAATGAAAGACTGGTCACACATCGAATCAGCACAAGAGAGCATCTGCTTGCGAGCTCCTTGAGGTGCTTTGTTCTTGTGAGAGACATTAATTTCTCCATTAGCTCTTAGTAGATGGAGATCGCGGTCGGTTCTATCGCCGGCGATGGCTTCTTCTTCTCATTATCACGCAGTGGATATTTGCCTTTCGTTGGGGCTACAGAGTCTTGCTTTCGAAGTCTTTAGTTGAGAATTTGTTTCGCATGGAGAAGAAGATAGTCAAAAAAGTAACTTTTAAAGGTTTTTATGACATTTTAGGGTTTGCCGAATTAATGAGATCTTGCAAGTCAAGAAAAGTAGTAAACAAAGTTAGCATTATTTTAGATCGACTTTTTGAAAGTAGAATGTTGTTAGTTTCTGTTGCATCAAAAAAAAAACGCTGGATCTGATTTGATAAGTCAAAGTGGATCTCGTGGGGAAAACGGCT